GGGAAGAATTCAGACTCCCGAAATATTCGAAGAACAGGAAGGAGTTCGTCAGTGCACGAAGAGGAGTTGTTGGCGGTGGGGGCGAACCTACACAAGGAGAAACTCCGGGGTAGTGGTTTTTGCTATGGGTGAAAGTACTAGGATCATCTGAATCGAGCGAGGGATGCCAGATGTGATGGTGAGGAAACGTACAACACCAACACGCCGAAGACAACGATCCATGACGATGAGCGATTCACGCGGAAGGGAGGATCCCCGGAAGAACCATGGAGGCTTCAACTTGGAAAGGCAGGGGACTCATGCATGATCGATTGGGGTGGGGTATTGGGGGATAGCGGCAGATCTCTCTTTGGTTTCCTCTAGTCTCCACTCCCACTTGTCGACTCCGCCGTGCCGGCCAGGCTATTCGTTGTTTAACTTTTATGATGAGTTTTCTCCACAACGGACAAAGTGCAAAAGCCAAGAGGGTATTACATGGTGATTTCTGCAGCGTTTTGTCACTGAAACCGAAAGCCAAAGCCAAGCCGGCTGCCGGCATAAAGGTCTACGTCTTCGTCCTCTTCCATTCCACCCCAGCGGCCCTGCGGAGAAGCCCAAGCGCCCCTTCCCCTCCTGGTTCTGACGATTGTGTTCCGAGTTGAGGTGTCTCCGCCAGTTTTTCTTCGGTTTCTACCGGATACCTGGAATTCAGCAAGCAGCACCACCGTGTATGTTTTCTCACTTCTACTCGATCGCGGAATTCTTCACTACGGGCTTACGACTGTCGGAAACTTACGTTATTGTTGACGCTGTCCCCAGCTCACCGTCATTACCCCAGCAGCTGTGCCAGTTTGAGTTGAGCAGCTTCTCTGGTGCAGAGCCGTGCCTTGTGTTTGTGTTGCACAACATTTAATTTGTTTGCTAGGCTATTATCCTACCTTGCGTCCCGCTCCAGCATCAGCAGCCTTTGTAGGGCTTTGTAGTAACAAATAAGCGGTCGCCGGCCTTTGTAGGGCTTCAGGAGGTCCTTTTTACGCTTGTTTCCATCTTATATTATCAGCTATCAGTTTTTAGTAACAAGCCTAGCAAAAATGTGGAGATGCCGTAAAGATTAGTTTCACTCAAACGTACGTGCACGACCACAGGTTTTTTTTGCCAGCATTGTTTCTCTTCCACTCTCTCTTTTTTTTTGTAGAGTCTATGTTTCTGCGTTTGATTACGTTAACTGAAGCCTTATTCTTACTATGAGAGTAAACGTATCAGACCACCAAATGAAGTTGTCAACTCGAAATAAATTTGACTGTTTCCTACTGATGCTAGCTGTCTAATAAAGGTAAAGTCCAATTTACACCCTCCAACTTTCACCAAAGTCCAGATTTCAAACTCGAACTTCAAAACCGGACAACTTTGGCCCTCCAACTCTCAAAAAAGTTCAACTTTCAACCTTCTGGGTGGGTGGTTTTGGGGGTGAACAGTAATTTTTGATATTTTCGGGAGCGCTGAAATTTTATATTATTTTTTCGAGCATCTTAACGTCCTCACATGAAAAAACTCAAAACTACAAAGTTGTAGATCTCATCGAGAGACTCTACAATTTACATATAAAAAACCCTTCATCAACATCGTATTGAAGGGTTTAATTTTTTGAAATTTGTAGTCTCATCACGAGATAAAATATGGTGCTGAAATTTAATATTATTTTTCATTTGAGCATCTTATAAGATCCTCAAATAAAAAAAAAATTTAAAACTATAAAGTTATCGATCTCATGAGTCTACAATTTATATAAATAGAAAATCTTCATCCGACATCGTATGAAGGGTTTTATTTTTGATATGTAAATTTGACTCGATGAGATCTACAAATTTGTAGTTTTGAGTTTTTTCATTTGAAGACGTTAAGATGCTCGAAAAAATAATATAAAATTTCGGCCCTCCCGAAAATATCAAAAGTTACTGTTCATCCGCAGAACCGTGTAGAAGGTTGAAAGTTGAACTTTTTCGAGAGTTGGAGGGCCAAAGTTGTTCGGTTTTGAAGTTCGAGGTTGAACTCCGGACTTTGGTGAAAGTTGGAGGGTATAAATTGGACTTTACCCGTCTAATAAAGGGAAATCATTTGAGGAAGGACGTCTTTGTTAGAGAATTAGGGTCTTAAACCCCACGATCTCTAATGCGCTTGACGTGAACACAGACTCATCTCAGGTGGATTAGTGACTAACCATAATCGTAAGATAGCCATGGCGGTGCCCTCCTCCTCTCGACACTAGGGAAGAAGGTGCCGATAACTCTTCCTGATTGTCGGTGAGGAAGCAGGAACGGCGACGTGAAGGCAGTGGCCTTCCCTTCACTCAAGCAATTTGATGATCAAATCTTAGGAGGAAGTACGTTAGGCCGGGCTATTCTTCGGAACGTTGTTTCCTTTTGGCATTGTGTAATGAGGGGCCACGACCCTTGGTCGGTTTGGGTGCCTCTGATTGCACATACGGGAGTCACAAACTCCCCTTGACTCAGCAAGAGGAACTGGTGTGAGCATTGCTCCATCCCAAAACATGGGACTAAGATCACATTTTTCAACATTCTCCCCTTTGATCAAAAGGCTAACATCTTAAGTCCACACTGAGTAGAAATAGTAATCGAAGCAATGTGATATAGTGGTCAATAAAAATGCCACTGCATGCAATGACAATACCTACGGTATTACCAATCCACCTCGATAGGATATACATATTTGTAATGGGACTTGGTTGTCTTATGGTCCTCATACCTAGAATCAAGGCTTTTCACTAAATCCATATGCACAAAATAATCATGGAAGATATTGGATGGTAAGGCTTAGAGCATCCACGATATTAATGTAATACTCATATCCATAATACTAATTGTCTGCTTCCAGGCTCTATCTTTCACAACTTGACTTGTTACTCACATAGGAAAACTGCATCTTGATGAATGCATCATAGTGGTATATGGATATGTTGTTCACCACTTTAAACTGGTAATCTTGTTCTTATGCCATATGGCTTCACCTACAACTTTAGCATGCTACTATCAATATTCATCATAAGACTTCAAAGTAAACGACGACTCTAGTTGCAAATTTGATGATATAAAACTTAATGTCAACATATTAGTATCAACACATCCTACAAAATTAGTATCTAAATCATTAATAACTCCATGTTTTAAGAAGTCTTGTGTGCGAGTATGCAATGCTTAGCCTCTTACAGTGCACTAATCTCAGGGGTCCAATCCTGGGCTTATTTCTGCTAAATATCCAGATTCATAAGGTAAGACAGGATGAGTACAAACATAATGCCTCGAACAGCGCGTTGAAGCGCAAGCACTTAGCTTTAATTGATCAGTTTTTATTTAATTTATGGGACCTTGGAGTGACCCAAATTTATCGACCTCAATATAAGTGATAGCTATAGGATAACAATTAACATACGCCATATCTCTCAAGTACTTCATCATTTATGACCTTACAGATAGACTTAAACATAATTGGACCTAACCAGGTGTACTAATGCCCAAACATAACATGCTTCACCTAGAACTTTATGTAAAAAATAAATGAGAGGGATCATTCAGGAGGATGCAGCATATACCTACTGCTACTTGCTAGTAAAGTTACCATCCATGTAAAGTAATATGATAAGTAACTCCCCTTGATCTTAGCATCTATATAGTTATGAACCATAGGTTCACAAAAACCACATCATTAATCTTAAAGTACCACTGTCAAGATGCTTACTCATGTTCGAAACGGATCTCTTTAGTTAACACTCTATGTCACTTGCTTTCCATGACTAAACCTCATAGTTGAGCCATGTGTATGTTCTTATACATGTTACTATCAGGGAGTATTTATATCCATATAATGCAACTCTAAATTGTAATAGTCGCAAATAACCATTGTGACAATTTTAAACAATGTTTCTCAAATAAGGGAGAGAGAATTCATAGGAAACCTTCACTATTAGCCTTGCCTTGAACTTTTCCACCTTCGTTTTGGAATCACTTATAATTTTGCAGACCCATCTATAGTCTATTGTGCTGATCCTGTTAGAAATTTCTACTGAGCTCATAGATTTTAGCCCACCCTTCATTCACTTAAACTATTTAGGTGAGTATGATTATTGTGGCTCCTTAAATAGCACGGGAACATCTACCTTTTCATGTCATAAACGTCTAACTTATGTAAATTGCATGATCATCATTAGTGGTAGATTTTCTATACCATTGTATTCTTTGTAAGACATTAGTCAACACATGTGTTTATTCAGGTCATGAAGGTTAATTGTGATAATTGCCTCACCATTAGGCACTGTAACAAAGATCCAGTACTCTTGATTGAATGCTCAGCTTTAGAACATTTATTAGCAGCTATAGCTAGCTCCATATTTCTCAGATGGAGAGTAGGGTTCTTTTGGATTTGCGGTAATAATTCATAAACCCCAGATTTCCTTTAGATCCATATCTCAACTTTTGAGCTCCCATTTATGAAAGTTAATGCAAGCTTATGGCACATACTTATTGGCTTAGTGCTTATTGTGGATTGAATGACTTAGTGTTGGCTAGGCAACCCGTATGCATGTGTAATGCTGCTGACTATAATATCACAACTTCCACAAACTCATTGGCAATATGAAACTCATTGGCACCATATACATAAGGATCCAGCGGCAGTAGGCGTCATCAGTTCAAATGATTGACAAAGCGCTGAGCGTATGTATATATAATTATAAGAGCTTTGTTACCGTGCTTGGGAGGAACCACCGGTTCCTCCCTTGAAAATTATTTACGTCATTTTTTATTAGAAAAAGTACATAATAACTCTTGAGGCAGCCCAACATCCTCTCCGCACGTCTTGGCCCACCCCACTGTGAACTCGACGCGAGCGGCGAGCTTCGAACACGAGAGATCCGACGCGCGACCGCACCGTCAACACCCGCATCAAGCATCTCCTGCGCCTGCCCTCATGGCCTCGCCCTCGTCCCACTCTAGCTTCGAACTCTTCTACTAATCCTCACTGGGAGCCTGCCGCTGATGGACGAGGTCAGCCCCGACACGTACGAACTTAGGCGCGCAGGCGGCGCTGCCACTGTCCCCGACGACCTGGACGTCGAGCGCTCTCACCACGGCCACCGCGACCACCATAATCTCATTGACGGCGAGATTCTTGCCGAGGCACACGCCGAGGCCCACATGGAACACCGGGTACCAGTACAGGCTCTTCGGGATGAAGGAGCAACCGGCGCCGGTGAGCCACTGGTCCGGGCGGAACGCATCGTGGTCGGCGCCCCAGATGTGTGGCATCCGGCCTATATATAGCGTAGGGGTGGTACATCACGCGCGTGCTGCCTGACACGTACGTGCCATTGGGGAGCACATCGGGCCTGGCGCAGAACTTGGAATCGAATTGCACCGGCAGGAACAGGCGCATGGTCTCGTACAGCACCGCGTGGGAGTAGTGTAGGCGGACTTGTGTGGCGCTGCTCCGACGTGCTGCTACGCCGCCATGCTTGCGAGGTCCCCCAGCCCTCTCCATCGACGAGCCGTGCGGAGCTCCTTTGCCGGCCGCATGATTCGTGGGCGCGTCGCTCGCTTTCGGTCCTTCTCACCATGCCCGCACTGCCTGTCATTCCTTCTCGACTGCCCATGCCGCGCCGCCGCCTTGCTAACGCCAGCGCTGCGCCGCACCGCCCGCCCACCAACGCGTCTGGCCCATGACGCTTGACTGCCCGTGCCACACCACCGCCTGCTCGCGCCAAGGATGGCTCACCTCTGTGCCACACCACCGCCTGGGCACCACGCTCACCTCTGCCCGGCAAACGCGCCTTGCTGCTTGCCCGTCGGCAACATGCCGATGCCCACCACCGCGCTGGCTCCCTGGCAGGGAAGAAAGTACTATTCTACCCTTTAAATTTATTTTGGAAATAATTCCTGACCCATATATTTTTGGTTTGAGACCCATGTATTTCTGGTTCTGACCCACAATTTAAGTTCCTCTATATTGGTTCTTCTTATTTTATAGACATCCGATCTATCCAAATGGATGGCTCTGCTTTTTTCCAAGCACCATAAAATTTCACTAATTATAAAGGGTTAATCAAGATATATAATTGTCATTTAACTTGTTCAACACTGGCTTTGTTGGAGTTATAATGCTCATACGTGTATATAAACCAGTCATTGTGCATGACCGTACAGGAGAGACGAGGAAGGAACTCGTGGAGCGAGGTCGACGACATTCTGGTGAGTTTTGGCATGCGAGCATGCAATTCCTTGTTACCTTCCTCTATTATTCATCGAAGGATTCATAGTTTTGATGCATGCATGTAAACGCTTATAGGCATATACGAAACACACCACCATGAGTACTGCTACTTGCTACGACTCGGCGACAGCCGTCCCCGCCGGCGGTGAAGTGGTTACTGCAGTGGCATCAGAAGAAGCAGCAGCAGCAGCAGTTCACCAGTCGAGGAAGAACCTGAGCCTGTACGCCAACCTACCTGCAGCTGAGATCATCGACTCGCTGCCCCTGGAGACGCGGTTCCCGGTGCCCCATCGCCAGTATGGGGGCTTCTGGAAAGCCGAGTTCTTGCTCAAGGGCATGGCTGCCGCTGCAACTCGCAGCACGTGCTTCGAGCCAAACCCATCTGACATCTTCCTCTCCAGCTTGCCCAAGTCCGGCACCACCTGGCTCAAGGCCCTCGCGTTCGCGACGCTCAACCGCGGCACGCACCCACCGTCCAACGCCGACGGCCAGCACCCGCTTAGCCACCGCAACCCTCACGACTGTGTCAGCTTCCTCGAGCTCATGATGATCCAGGGCGTCGACGCCACCGCCGCCGCCGGGGCAAGCGGAGAAGAAAGAGGTTCTCCACCTCCACGGTTGATCGCGACGCACTTGCCCTGCTCATGGCTTCCCCCTGCCATCGTCACGGGCTCCGGGTGCCGGATCGTGTACGTGTGCCGGGAACCCAAGGACGTGCTGGTCTCCTACTGGACCTTCAGCGTCAAGGCGGCAGCAAAGTTTGCTGCCGCTGCCGCCGCCGGTGGCGATGGCGATGGTGACGGCGGCGGCGGCCGGGAGTCTGCCGCAGCATCAGCAGGAGGCCTGACGAGTTTTGAGGAGGCTTTCGAGCTCTTCTGCGAGGGGCGGTTCCCCGGAGGCCCCCACTGGCTGCACGCCCTGGAGTACTGGCGTGAGAGCCAGAGGCGGCCCGACGAGGTGCTGTTCCTCAGCTACGAGGACATGCTGCGAGATCCGGTAGGGAACCTCAAGAAGCTCGCCGCGTTCATGGGGTGCCCGTTCTCGGCGGAGGATGAGAAGGCCGGTGGGGTGGTGGATCAGATCGTGGAGCTCTGCAGCTTGGACAACCTCAGGAGCATGGAGGTGAACAAGAACGGGAGTACGACAGTGCTCGGGGTCACGAATGATGCCTTCTTCAGGAAGGGCCAGGTCGGTGACTGGAGAAACTACATGACGCCGGACATGGCGGCGAGGCTGGATAAGGCTGTTGAGGAGGCCACTCGAGGTTCTGGGCTCACCTTTGCCGACTCCATCGAGGTGTAATTAATAAGCTTAATTTCACACCATGTTATTAATGTTGGTGACCTTTGTATCGTGGTTCACCTTTGTATTCAAGGTTCTGGGCTCACCTTTGCCGACTCCATCGAGGTTCTGTGCTCAACTTTGTATCGATAAATTTGGCGCTTTGCATGCATGCCTCACGCATACGGCCAGGAGGCTTCTTTCAATGGAGATGACATTTCCATAGACAGCGAGGCACATAGTCTACTCCTGTATGATAAGTGGTGTGTGTAAGTGTTTGTGGTTGTACAAGAAAAGAAGCATCGCCCTACTTCTTTTACAATAAAATTATGTTCCTTATTATTCCAGAAAAAAAAGTGGTTTGCACAAAATTTGTTAAATAATCATTGGGACAGGTGACTACAAACTGCAGTTATACGGAGTTTAATGTTATGTACGGGGTTTAATGAGAGGAAACACACATATATCAATGTCTAGTGTTTAATTAGAGTAAATTCAAGACGCAGATCAAAATGGAGGCGAAGACCAATAGCCCTCCAAGTGAAGTTGCTGGCGGTTTTTTGTGTTCTCTGTGATGATAATCTGTAATGAAGTGTTGTTTCTCTATGGTTGGCGCGTGGTAGTAGTCTGGTTTAGCTTGTTACTCTTGTTTCGGTCTTGCTTCTTCTAGCGCTCCTTTTGCTATCTGAACAACCTAAACTCTGTATTTCTGTTATTTCGATAATGGAAATGGGGATGTCCTTGGTTCGAAAAAAATAGAGAAAACACACATATATCACAGTCTAGTGTTATCGGTCATTCAAATGTTTAATGTCCTCCAACAACCGCGTGTTCAGAGCCCATGAAACAACTGACGCTAGCCATAACATGAATCGAGTGTTTTGACAGCATCCAGCACACAAATTTTGAACCATCGGATTTTAATCTGATGTGTTCTTGAATTTTGCTGTTTTGTTGTCTATGTGGGCCGGTTGCCTAGGTATAAAACGTTGAATTCGCAGTCTTTATCAGGCCGAGGTGTTCATGTCTAAATATGTACTGTGTTGTTTCCTATTTTTGTTGTGCGTACTACGAGCACGTATAAATATCATTTGTCAGTTCCTGGTCTATAGGTTCATTGTTTATACATGGCAACTGTCAATAGGGCCGATGTTGTTCCTTGATGTTTTACTGCATTTTCGACTATGCTCCAGACGTATGATGCACGTGCGTGCCAGGCTTCTTTAGTGAATCTGAGTAGCAAAAAAAAAACATATTCCTTATGTGAAAAATGCAGTTGCAGAAATAACAAATTAAAAGGAAACATGTTTGAAAAATAAGGACAAATTAAATTTGAAAAGGTCATAAAAATCATGACCACTAATTATTATGACTGCCACGGCCCTAATTGGAAAGCAAGAAAAATACAAACTCCTGCATTGTGACCATATATAAGAACAAACTAGAAACTGGGGCTAAAATATAAAAATAACCAATAACAACATAGAAAAAAAAGTGGCCAACTGAGGCCAAATTATATAAACAAGGAAAACCAAAAGAAACAAAAAAAACAGGCTGCAAACTGGGGACTAAAATATAAAAACAACCACCAATAATGTCAATAAGAAAGAACAAGCTGTCAACTGGAGTCCAAATTATAGAAACACCCCTTATCAGCAGAACAAAAAAACCAAGCTAACAACTGGGGTCCAAAATAAAAAAACAAACGCTAACTACATGAACAAAAAAAACTAAGCTACCAACTGAGGTCCAATTTATAAAAACCAAGTTGGCAACTACGATCCTTTTAAATGGTCATTTGGCCCATTTAAGTAGCCATTTAGCCCATGGGTCCTTTTTGGGCCCAGCCCTATCGTATAGGAGCCCAGACTATATGCCAACTCTCGGTCCATTTTAGAGCACATTGTCCACGCCTCAGGGCGCCACGTGCCTCGCCGAGGGGTGGAACGAACCGTGCTGGCACCACTGAACTTATTCGGTTGGCAAGACCTAGCTTGGTATATAGAAAAGTGTGAGGCTTTTTCTATAGTTGTTTTTTCACAGCCCACAGCTCACAGTAGCTTTTTTAAAATCCACGGCCCAACCAAACAGGGCCTCAGTTGATCTAGTCATAGTATGTCCGTCAGTAGAAGCATAGTACGTAGCACACGAGTAAATATGATACATATCGATATTCAATTCATCAAACATGGTTTCACATCAGCTTAACAGAACTGACGATAATCAAGTTCGGGAGCCTCCGCTTCCCTTCCACTACGCTCCCCACTCGAAGACGAGCAGACCACACCAAGTGCGTTTATTCCATATATATATGTCTCACCGACACATACGCTTTAGTCACTTTAAAGAGTACTTCAAAGAAATGTAGTAAAGCATCACATGCGAAGCTGAACTTCGAGGAAGTCGACTTCAAACAGGCCTTCATTGACCATGCGAGCGGTGCCGACGAGCCCACCATCATCGGGGCTCCTGATGTAGCACTCGGCACGGCTGAAGCTGACTCCGTAGTCTAGCTCCGCAAGCTGGCTGACTGAAATAAGGTTAGCCGTGAGGCCAGGAATGTACCACACGTCGGGGAGCACCACGGCGTCGGTGACCACGTTGCCGCAGCCGAGGACCTGCATGGGCGTCCCGTCGGCCGCGTGGACGAAGAGCTCGGCAGAATGCTGGTGCGTGGTGAAGCTAGAGAGCAGGTCACGATTCCCCGTCGCGTGGTGTGGAGCAGCAGTTGCGACGATCCAAGTAGCTGACGCATTCGCCTCCTCTGTTTTGACGATGACAGGCTCAAAGACGAGATCACTGTACACAGTTGCAGCAAACATCATCCTATTATTACTAGTTATTGCAACCAAATGATAATCAAAGTTTAAGGAGAGGGGGTATTGTCGTATATAAATTATAAACATGTTACTAAGTAATGTAAGCATTTCCAAAATTTCCACATTGTTTAGGACAACTTCAATTCTAAGATGTTTTGGCTTTTCTACATATATAGTTTTTCTATGCATTTAGATAGGGGCAATGCTACTATACTCCCTTTAGTTACTAGGAGGTAATACCTCAAACAAATCTAAGTCATTGATTTTTTGAATTAATCATTTAATTAATCTAGAAAAAGAAAAAGGAAATATTTGTCAAACCCGATGGCCCCTTCTTTCCATGCACAGCCTTCCATTTTTTTCCTTTCCGTGTTTCCTTCCTTTCTTTTCTGATTGTATCCTTTTCCTTTTATAAATTTTTATTTATTTTTACAAATACATAAATACTATATACACTGAAATATTTATTTATAGTTTTATTTATGTTTGATATATTAATAAACCACTAAAATATTTATTAATAATTATGTTAACTTTTGAGTTTCTTAAACCAAATCTCTACGTGCATAAGTATGCTCCTAGTAAAATATATAGTCGATAAAGCATATATCAGAATGAGAATTCATATAATGTATAAAGCATAAAATTTCATATGCATTGGACACGTACATATATTGGACATGTATGTACGTTAATCGGGCACGTGTGGCACGTATTATGCACATAAAAAACAAGGTACTAGTTTATGTTAACTAAATTAAGTCATATCTAAAGTTGTATACAAATAAAAAGACTACCACTTTCAACAGATCATACACGCATCAATTAGATCTATAAGAAAGATTTTTATATCTAAAACTTTTCTTATTTATCATATTTTATAAAATTAAAAATTAAATAAATACATATTTCGGCTATTACCTTCTAAGAAGTAATAAGATGATTTTAGCCATTTGATCTAATTAAATGAACGGCTCATAGTTATTTTGAGTACCCACAGCAAGCCCCATATCTTCACATTATATACTGATGTACACTATGTCTCTCTCTCTATATATATAGTAAAAGCAATCTATCTAGAAAAGCCGAAATGTCGTCTTATACATTGGAATTGAGGGAGTATAGTTGTCGGATATCACAAGAAGGGGTACCCTAAGCAAGAACCGAAAATATTGCTTAAGCCTTGCAAAAATCAAAGCCAAAGGACAACCACGAGGTCTCGGCAGATTCTTCGACTCGCCCAAGGCTTGCGCCGAGGCCTCAGACGAAAGGCCAAAGCCCTCCGCCCCGCCAAGGCCCTCTCGCCGAGGCCCCGCCCCGCAAGGCCTCGGACGGGATACCAATTCTCCGATTCGCCCGAGGCTGGGCTCGGCAACAACCTCGTCACCTCCGTCCCGACCGACTCCTCTGGCGAAACGTCACGTCCAGTTAATGCGCCCCACTACTCCCGCAACGTTAGCCGTACGTTGGCGCAGTACAGGCAGAATGACCGACGGGACAGGGGACCGGGCGCAGCAGGGGTTACCTGCCACTGTGCTCATCATTGTGCCTCCTGCTGACACCCGTAACTGCCCTGTGCTACCTAACTCCTGCGCCAAGGACAAAGTGGCGTGGAGGGTTAAGTCCGGGTCCATGTAGTCTCGGAATCAGCATGAAAGACCAACTGTTCGTCCTCCGCCTCGTCCGAGACCCCCCGGCAGGGCCTCGGACGTACTATTCCTTCTCTGCCTCGGCCGAGGCCGGGCTCGTCCCGCATCCTCGTCGCCTCCGCCTCAACCGTCCCTCTGACGAGCCATCCCATCCGTTTAAGTGCGCCTGGTCACACCTACTACGTCAGCCACGACTGGCAAGGTATAGCAACATGGGCAATGGGACAGCGGTCAGATCTCCTTTTTACCATCCCCTACTGACGGTGCAGGGGTTACCGTGCCCTGTGGACACACGCTCCGCACTTTTCCACCTGAACCAGGTACGACGCTGACCACCGAGACCCCCGCATCATACACGAGTCACCTCCGAGGCCTCGGCAAAGTAGGCCTTGGCACGATCAGCTACAGCACCCGCCAGGCCTCGGCACTCCACCAAGTCAAGAACCCACAAGGCACGGCATGTCTCCTACAGTGGAGGCCATACTGACTATACGTCAACAAGGACTCCCACGACCTCAACAACCTCAGGCCTGGCCAGCACGGCGCGCCAATC